GAGCAAAGCAGAAGACTTATTATCGTGCTAACATCAAACTATATTCTCAGACGAGGATGGAGTATTTTTGAATTGGAAAGCAGACTCCATAACATGCTAGCCAGTGGGGAAATCAAAGTGATCTTGATTGAGTGTACAGAATTAAAAGGGAAGGTGAATTGCCAGGAAGTGGAATCACTAAAGCACAGCATCAAACTTCTGTCACTAATCAAGTGGAAGGGACCCAAAAGCAGCAAATTAAATTCTAAGTTTTGGAAGCACTTAGTATATGAAATGCCCATCAGGAAAAAGGAAGTACTTTCTCGATGCCAGATTCTGGACTCTGCAGAACAAGGACTTTTTGGAGAGCTCCAACCTATACCCTCTATTGCCATGACCAGTACCTCAGCCTCTCTGGTATCATCTCAAGCTGATCTCCCTGAATTCCACCATTCAGATTCGATGCAAATGAGGCACTGTTGCAGAAGTTATAAACACGAGATGCCAACCACCACCTTGTCTGTACCTTCCTTAAGCAACCACCACACTTACTGTAACCTGCCTCTGAAGCTACTCAATGGACAACTACCCCTTAATAATCCCCTGAAAGATACCCAGGAATTTCATAGAAATAGTTCCATGCTACCTCTATCACCCAAAGAGCTTAGCTTCACCAGTGATATTTGGTAGTGAAGAATCTGACATACTGAGAAAAGCCATGGAAAATTTATGCTATAACAAGCATAAAGTACACCTAACATTGAGGTGCTGAAAAAGTGTTGGAAGAAAAAGGCACAGAAATTGCTTTTGTACTTCAATTTTTGTATGCATTCCCAGAATACTGGGGGAAGAAAGACCTGCTTTTGTAGTATAGTACCTTGTTCCAATTTACAGTTTTAATTTCTCCTGGAAAATGTTACTCCTATTGTTTTAGAGTAGGCTTTATGATACCACTTGAACTGCAAGCTTAGTAGATGAGCTACCTTTGACATATTTATGAATATTTCACTATCTATGTGGTATTTGAAACAGGGAAAATTTAAAGACTTTTACTGAATTTGAAAATTCTGAACTACCTTTAAGATGAAAGAAGAACTATTATAGATTAGCTGAAAATCAGTAATTATCAAGAAAGAAGTGTTGAGGCACTCAAATTGGAAGACTGCTTGCAGAGGAAGATCAGTTAATGAAAAATGTGATCGAAGCAATTAGAACTTCTTCAATTTAATGGACAATTTCTGTAGACTAAATCAATAGATCATAAAGATAGTCGTGACATAGCTTTATTAGGGAAGCACATATTCTGTAGGCAAACTGGTAGGTAAACAACATGCATTTCTTAAGCAACTGAATAGACAGGTTGCCAGCTCTTTTAGAATGATTTTGAACAACCTTATGACTTTCTATCGCCTATTCTAAAAGTTTTAAAAATTGAAACACATTTTAAAGTGTGTATTTTATTGTTTGCTAACAAATTCACATTTTGATTCCCCCCAAATAATCCATCAACCTCCTATAAGCTTTATAAGAAGATGTGAGTATCTTCCTACTTTTATCAGTGTCATTGGAGTTTGAATTTAAATAAATACTGACTGCACATATCAGCAATACAAAAGAAGTAAAACAACAATAACCACAGATGAAGTGCTAAATAATTCAAGTTTACTGGTGGTAGAGCAGCAATTGCAGTGATTCTTATCTAAAATGTAGTTGTGAAATACACTATTCTGTACATATACAATATCTGCTTGGTGATATGTGTAAGGTTCCTGTAGAATTATCTCTATTCCTGGTGCTTCAAAGAATATATCTTGTAGATAAACTTCTCCACCCTCACATTGTGACTGTGACTGTACTCCACCAGAAAATCCCTGTGAATAATCTAAAATATTATGAATTCTCTGTAAGGAATGTTCCCCTATTTTCATATTTGTTGTGGATTACTACTTTATATTCTTTTCAATTAATCCATTTTGGTGTGTTCTCCACCAAGATGCCCATGAGGGTCAATTGTTAACCAAGGTTGATTCTGGCATTTTGGAAATATTTCTTAAATCATATTTTGAAAAAAAATATAAGCAAGGACAAATGTACACAGTGTGTAAAAATTAATTTGCCCACCCATGTAACTAAAACTCAAATGTATAAGAGAACATTAGATAATGTTTTAATTATTTTTTCAATCTCTTTATATTATCGACTCCTGTGGTCCATGGGTTCAAAGTACTTGCTTCTCTGTTGCTTTACTATATCAAGCTGTTAAAGAAATACATTATGCACCAAGAGTATGTGAACACTTAGCAGTAGTACATGTTCATTTCACAGTGAGACAATTAGTTGTTCCTTTGAAAAGTCCTATTCAAAACATACAGGTTTTTCATACTGAGAAAGGTGATTTTGCTTCTGTAAAAACTATAGGTTTTTCAAAATGGAAATTTATTAGTACTTAACTGTTTCCCAAGCGTTATCAAGTTGTATTTGCTCTCATTGTTATTTAATGATATGTGTAATTACTAAGTTAATAACTTGCATGGAATGAGTACTATATGTTTAAGTGACCAATTGTACTTTTTATTATTTTGTTTTACACAGAAGTCTAGATAAATTCAAATAGAATGCTAAGTAGTATTTTTAAACTAATAGTTCTGTATTGAGCATGCCAGTTCTGAAAATATAACATGGGTCTCTCTGCTTCCTTTATTTACAATGATTAAACGTGGGTAGCAATTTGAGTTGGCTGGCCACAATGTGTCCTTTCACAACTAGTATGTACTAAAAAACAGAGCATTCACACTTGTGCTGGTAAACTTGACAAGAAACCTTTTCTATCATTTTGAGAAACCAGTGTATACACTATCTATAAAATTTTATTTCTAGATAGTAATTCAAAATTTGATTTTCATCTGAGATTTTTAAAATATATAGCCCATAATGGTGTAATAAGTATTTTGTATAGAATATGATGTACTCTATCAGTTTCTTTCACAGTGAGAAAATTTTTCTTCTCAATTTTTCATTGAAATAGATTGTGAAAATTTAGAAAAATGCTGGCACAACTAGTTCCCATACATTCATAACAAATTGATTTAGCTCATCCACCAACAGCATACATAGTTTAAACTTTAGGCTATTTTAAGGTAAAGTTTTCTAAAAAAAATATCTGAAATTATGAGACAAATGAGAAAATCACAACTCAATGCTCAGGGAGATGGGCAACATGTAAATGGTTTTAATTTGCCAAATACAAAATCTGGCAGGTTTGGTAATCTATGGGACTCCAATCTAAATATTGAGACTCAAAGGTAGCTAGGTAGTTCTTAAATCTAAGTAAGAAGGCATCTCTCCTCACCCACTCTAAGCCATAATTCAATTAGTTCCAAAGCTGTTTAGCTTTCAATCACTTTAACTTAACAAATGGGTACAAAGGCACTTAAGGAATCTCATAAAGCTTGAATCTAGGGTAGCATCATGTGAAAAGACAATACTTTGTTTGAGGATTGGTGGATAGCACTGTGGGGATTAAAATCAGGAACCAGGCTGCAATGAGAAGATAAACAGTTAAGTTGTGAAAGAGAAGTTTATGGAAGAGTTTCAAAAGGACATGCAAATAAGTAGTATTCAATAAATTAATTCTGTAACAAATTGGAAAATGGCAGGAGTGAAAAAGAATGAAATTCTTCCAAGAGAAGGAAAGAAACTCACTGGCACACTTGATAACTAAAAGCCTTACAAGAGCATAGAACTACTAGTTTCAAGCATTTACTGCCCTTTGGCACTTTTAAATAAATTGGTTGGTGTTTCCTAAAAATCAAGTAATGACCAAGGAAAATATCGTGAAAATTGTGCATATAAATCTTTACATTCCTATATTCATTTCCCAAGGTGTGGTAGTGAATTGATAAAACCAAAGTGATGTTAAGATAGAAAATAGTTCCTTAGTGACCAGTAAAGTTTGAAAACTTGTAATTTTTGTTGCTGTTTTCTGAGAGAGAATGTAATGTTGAAAATAGTTTGGCTCAAATTTCTCAATTACTCATGCATTTTTGTTCTAAGATGTTTGATAGGAGGTCTCAGTGTTGGACATTAATGCTATCTGATGAATGTATGGGGTTGCTTGGTAAACAATAATCATTTGCTTCAAATACTTTCACTTCAAAGTTATCTTTTTTAGAACTGAAATCAGTAATAGGCAATTTAGAAAGGTTATTCAACACTCTATATAATTCCTGTGAGATCAGAACCTATATCCATCTAAACTTGTCTTCTCAAGTGATCACTATTGTTTGATCAAACACATTTTCTCCAGATGGTACTAATGGCAATCATGAATATTTATTGAGTAGCACTGTATAATGTCCACTATATAAAGTATAATATAATTATTTTTAAATTGAAGTCCCTGTTTTTGAATAGTTTACACATCATATGCATTAATAAAGCATTATTTGAAAACCACATTCTAGCATAGGAAAATTAATATTACATATGCAGAGTAGATAAGGGAGGTGGGATTATTCACTCTTGAACAAGAGATAAGTTTGGAATTGAGGGACCAGTGGTGAAGTATGGTGCTTTCCCAATTGCAGAGAATAGCACATGTGAAGACTGATGAGAAACTAAGCAAGTCCTATTATCTGAAAACTAGATGCCTGGTGCACAAAATTTGTGTATGGAGGGTGTGTGTCCCTCATCCAGCCTGTAACCTCTCCAATCTGGGACCCCTCAAGGGATGTCCCTCTCACAATCTGGGACTGCTGGCTCCCAACTGCTTGCCTGCCTGCCTGCCCAATTGCCCTTAACCACTTCTGCCTGCCAGCCTGATCACCCCCTAACCACCCCCGGCCAGCCTGATCAACGCCTAACTGCTCCCCTGCTGGCCCGATTTCCCCTAACTGCCCTCCCCTGTGGGCCTGTTCACCCCCAACTGCCCTCCCCTGCAGGCCTTGTCACCCCTAACTGCCCTCCCCTGCTGGCCTGATCACCCACAACTGCCCTCCCCTGCAGGCCTTGTCACCCCTAACTGCCCTCCCCTGCTGGCCATCTTGTGGCAGCCATCTTGTGTCCACATGGGGGTGGCCATCTTGTATGTTGGAGTGATGGTCAATTTGCATATTACCTCTTTATTATATAAGATAAGCATATTTGGATACCAAGAGGAGAAAGCTGTGTGAGGGTATAATAAAGTATGACTGGGAGAGATGCTGGAACATTCATCTCATAGCAGATGAAGGAAGAATTAGGTAGGGGGGAGAGTATAGTGACAGGTAAAATATTTGAGAGGCTACTTCACAATACATGTACTAGTTGATAAGAGATGGAGGGTGGTGACCTGGATACTCTCAGGAAAAAGGCAAATCTGAGGAGGAAGAGAAAAATACAGGATGTGTTGATGTGAAAAGTGGAAAATGACTTAACAAAGGATGTGAAAGACCTATATTCTGAAAATTACAAAACATTATTAAAAGAGATTGAAAAATACATAACAATGGAAAAAATATCCCATGTTCTTGGTTTGGAAGAATAAGCATTGTTAAAACAGCCATATTATCCAAAGCAATATACAGATTTAATGCAATTCGCATCAAAATCCCAATGTAATTTTTTTAAATAAATAGAACAAGAAATCATCAGATTTGTATGGAACCAAAAAAGACCCTGAAAAATAAGAACAAAACTAGAGGTATCATGTTACTTGAGTTCAAATTATACTCCAGAGTGAAACTGAAAACAGCATGGTATTGGTAGAGAAACAGTCACACAGATCTATGGAACAGAATAGAAAGCCCAGCTATAAAACCACATGTACATGGACAGATAATTTTCAACAAAGGAGCCTGAAGTAAAGATAAGGTTTTCAATAATTGGTGCTGGAAAACCTGGAAAGCCACATGCAAATGAATGAAACTGGATTATAGTTTGTCCCCATGTACAAAAATTAATTCAACATGGATCAAAGACCTAAACATAAAACCTGAACTATAAGTTACATAGAAGAAAATGTAGGTACCAAACATATGGACCTGGGCCATAAAGAACATTTTATAGAATTGACCCCAAAGGCAAGGGAGGTAAAGGCAAAAATAAATGAATGGGACTATATCAAACTGAAGAGCTTCTGCACAGCAAAAGAAATGGACAACAAAACAAAGAGACAACCAACCAGATGGGAGATGATATTTGTGAATAGTAGCTCCTCCAACAAAGGTTTAATTTCCAAAATATATAAAGAACTCATAAAACTCAACACCAAACAAACAATCCAATGAAAAAGTGGTCAGAGGACCTGAAAATACACCTCTCCCAAGAAGACATATGAACAGCCAATAGATATATGAAAAGATGTTCAACCTCACTGGCCATTAGGGAAATGCAAATCAAAACTACCAGGAGATAGTACCTCATACCTGTTAGAGTGGCCATTATAAAAAAGGCAAGCAATAGCAAGTGTTGGAGAGGTTTTGGAAAAAAGGAACCCTCCTTCACTTCTGGTGGGAATGTAGACTGATACAGCCACTATGAAAATCAGTCTGGCAACCAAAAAATTTGTCTAGCACTACTATATGACCCAGCACCCCCACTCCTGGGTATATACCCGAAAAACTCAAAATCATGTATTCACAAAGATATCTGCACTCCTATTTTTATTGCAACATTATTCACAGTGTCCAAGACATGGAAACAACCAAAGTGGCCTTCAATAGAGAATTGGAAAAAAGAAGTTGTGGTACATATACACAATGGAGTACTACTCAGCCCTAAGAAAGAATGACATAGCACAATTTACAACAACATGGATAGACCTTGAGAACATGCTAAGTGAAATAAGTCAGACAGAAAAAGCTAAGAATCATATGATTTCACTCATATGCGGGATATAAAACTGAAACTTATGAACACGAACAGCAGAGTGGTGGTTGTCAGAGGGAAGAGGGTCCTAATATGAGGTGACAGGAGATTTGACTTTCATTATTCACAGTGTCCAAGACATGGAAACAACCAAAGTGGCCTTCAATAGAGAATTGGAAAAAAGAAGTTGTGGTACATATACACAATGGAGTACTACTCAGCCCTAAGAAAGAATGACATAGCACAATTTACAACAACATGGATAGACCTTGAGAACATGCTAAGTGAAATAAGTCAGACAGAAAAAGCTAAGAATCATATGATTTCACTCATATGCGGGATATAAAACTGAAACTTATGAACACGAACAGCAGAGTGGTGGTTGTCAGAGGGAAGAGGGTCCTAATATGAGGTGACAGGAGATTTGACTTTCGGTGGTGGGCATATGGTGCAATATACATATCTTATAACATAGAAATCCAAAGATGAAACCTATATTTCATGTTAACCAATGTCACCCCAATCAATTTAACAATTTTAAAAAGTGGAAAATTAAAAAAAAAATAACTAGTCAGTAAAGATTCTAATGATCGCCCTAACTGGTTTAGCTCAGTGGAGAGAGTGTCGGCCTGCGAATTGGGGGGTTCTGGGTTCGATTCCAGTCTAGGGCATGTACCTTGGTTGCGGGCACATCTCCAGTGGGGGGTGTGCAGGAGGCAGCTGATCAATGTTTCTCTCTCATCGATGTTTCTAACTCTCTAAAAAAATATTCTAATGATAAAGAAAGTTAGTTGCATCAAAGGAATTAATTTAGAGTATTTAACATACTTTCTTAACTGAACATCCTGACACCTTACAGGCAAGAATAGAGACAACACAATGGTAGGTGTATTTACTACTACAACAACCCCTGAAGTGTTTGCAGGAGAGTAATGGTAAGGAGAGGCAAAATGCTTCTGAAAATCAGCTCTGAAACAAACAATTACATTTATTCTGCTGAATAAACTCTCAGATTCTCAAGTAAGTAATGGATGGTGTTTGGTCCTTTAGGTCTCATATTCCAATGCTATTTAAATGTCTTGTCTTATTTTGGAGTAAATAATTATTTTCTTAAAATAGAGGCATTGAAGTTATTCAATTATTGGGAACCTCAGGAGGCAGATATCCCAGGAGTTTGTTACAGGTTTTAAAATAGAAAAACTGGACAAAGTTCACAAAGAACAAAAAAGAATATGTTACAGTGTACTGGCTTTGTGGGAGGAGGCACAGAAAGCGCACCTGTGAAGAGCAATAAAGAATTGATAACCAACCACATAAGACCTGAACCCAAGGAACCAAATATTCACCAAAATTGAAGGCAGAATTATTACAATCTTTAAAATTATGATGGAAACTTTGTAAGGAACACTGTATTAGTAAGAGTATGTTACTGTTGTTAAGGACAATAACCCAAATCCTGCAGCTTAACACAATAAAAATGTAATGCTTGCACACTTCACCGTCTAATAATGAGGACTGAAAGGGATTATGGGGAAAGGCTCTACTTCACAGTCATTAAGAGATAGGCTTTTTCTATTTTGTTTTTCTGATCTCTAAGTCTGATGAGTCTTCTTCATTCGCTCAGGAGATGGAGGGGAGATTTGGAGGATGACACACAATGGCCCATAGAAAACATTCACATTCCAAGAGGTGAGGAGGTAGGGAGAGACGTTAAGAGATATAGTCTAGCTGTTAGCCCAGAAGAAAAAGGAAATGGTGTTTAATGAGCAAATGAACATATTATCCAATAATAAGGCATTGAGTAATTCTTTTCCATAATGTCAAAAGATGAAACAAACAAACAAAAATAAGCAGTAAAGTTATAGGAAGAAGAAAACACCAAAATAGACAACAAGTTTCTGAAGATTAGTGGCCATGTCTTATTCCTTGCTGTAATCCAAGGACCTATAACAGTGCTGATCACAGGGGAGATGCTCACATCACATTTCTTGATTAAAAAGAGGAGTGCATTTAGGAGCATCTGTAACCCTTAAAAATATTAGGAATATTTTTTTCACTTGCTTCTTTCAGTAAGCATTCTTGTTCCCAATTTTTGAGAAAGAAAAAAATGGTTTAGATTATATCTTTATGTCCTGTCTATATCTAGAATTTTAGGATTGTAAGTCAATTTGTGGTTGGAGATCAAAGTTTCTTAAGCATTTCACCAGTCAAACAAATCATTCCTCAGAACATTCAGAAAATTTAGTTCTATGAGGCCACCCAAAGTAATCTATTGCTCTTAACCACATAGTCCTTTTTCTTAAATATATACTTTACATAATGATTTATTGCCAATAAAAACAATGACTTTCTTTTATGCAAAGGGTACTTTTATATCTATAATTATCATACTGGGTGGAAGAATAGGGATTAGATTAACCTCCTTTACCAGGCACAGGGTGTGCCACTCTAGCAATTCCACCAGTAAATTCAGTATGCAGAAATATTCAAGTTTCTGTCCTATTTTGACATATTTTCTATTAAGCCAATACATTGTGAGCTTCCTCCACCTCCTTGACACAGGGAAAGTGAGAAAATGAACAGAAAAAATGAGAATACCATTCATTTTCATCATGGAGAAATTATTTAACCTTCTGTGCCTCTATTTCCTCACCTGTAAAATGGGATAATAATACACATAGTGTTGTTATGAACACTGAGAATTAATGTGTGCAAATTGCTTAGAACAGTATTTGACACAAAATAAGCATTATATAAGAGTTACTATTATAATAATTATTTTTATACAAAATGGCACCACTGACCCACCATCCATGGGAAATGAATTTTTATTTTAATTCCCAAGTGGTAGAAATTTGCTATTTAGTTTCTTGCATGACTGCCTGTAAGACTGAGGACACTCACTTTCCAGGTAGTTGGATGAGGCTAGAGGTGCATTCTGTGGTCATGGAACAGATCAGAATTAACTGGCCCATACAAGAGACAAGCTTACAGTAACTTTGACCTTATTAATAATGTGTTCTGAGCCAGACAAAAAACAGAACTCTCAGAACATGGATTATTCAGATTTGCTGTCCATGTTAATTAGCATCCCCAGATGATTGCTTGATATTCTCCTTCACTTTAGTTAGGTTTACATAACACCAAAACATCTGGATGAGAAGTGAAAAATGCAGATGTTTAAGCCACATGATGGGAAACATGCAGATGTCTCAAATTTGGATTTGTCATTTTGTTCTTTGTTTTAAAAGAAAGAGAAGCCAAAAAAGAAAAAGAAAAACTCCTCCATGATTTGTTTGTTTCCTTAACCTGGGTAAAATCAAGCCAGCTTCTTGCATAGAAATTTAAAATGCCTAAAAGCTAAGTACAAAGCTTGTTGAAAATATCACTAGATGAGCGGTGCTTCCAAAGGATATTTTTCTTTTTTACTTAAAAAATACGTCTGACCCATGACTAGCATTTGTGAGAACTGATTGCTTTTAGAGTGAGACAATATTTTGGAAGAGTTTATTATAATGAACTATCCAGGAAAATATGGCTGGGCTGATACCAACAGTAAAGGAGAATTTGCTAAAGATACTCCTCAGAAATATTATTTCATAAGAGAAACTTATCTCAACTAAATGACTAAGGAGTTAAGTACAGAATAATACATATAAATATCTTCTGCTTATGAAATACTCGGTTTTTGCTACCTGGAAACCAGCAGAGAGAGTTGCTATAGGCATAAACAAAATAGGTAGCCATTTGTGGAATATGCTTTGAAGAAAATAAAAATTCATGAGAAAGTACCTGAAATGCCTATCATTGGTATTCTAAAATAATTTCAACTAGGCTAAATAATGCTCCCAGGAAGTTACCGCAATCTTTGCCTTTATGGCTCCACCAAACTTCTCTGTCTGAAAGTAAAGCACATT